CTCGCGGGGCAGAGCTGGCGCATCCTGGGGCTGGGGCTGCGGAGGTGCTCCTGGGCGCCAGCTCCCTGCGTGCTCGGTGTCTTGCTCCCCAGGCTGCACAGGGTCCACTCCTTGGCCTCCTTCCGCTGGGTAGTGAGAAAGGCAAGAGTCGGGACGGAGGTGGCCCTGCCCAAGGGCTGCTGCTCGGTGGGTTGTGTTGGCCCAGGCCTTCGCTGGGTGGACAGATGGAGCCTGGAACAATCTCTGGCAGGCCCGTGATGATTCTGGTGGCTTGTAGGGTGGGAGACGCTGGATGCCCCCGAGGAGGCAGAGATGAGCTCGGGGAAATGCAAGCTGCTCTCTTGGCGATCACGCCAGGCTGTCTTCACAACATCCCGGCAGGTCGTGGGCTCTTCCGCACCGGAGGCGTTCAGGGCGCAGCTGCTTAGGGATGCTTTCGCTTGGGTTCCTGCGCTGCGGGGCAGGGGTGGGCCCAGTGCCCTTCCCACTCTGCTTTTCTGTGGTTTTACGATCTTTTGTGAGCCTTGTTCCCCTTCAGTTTTGTGGAAGTTCCCGTTCTAATGTGGCTTTGCAAATGGCAGAAACACGCGAGAGGGCAGCAGGCCAGAACCTACAGGAGGACGTGGTTGCTGCCTCCCCGGGAAGGCCTTTCTCCCATATGCTTTCCTTAATTTAGCAATCCACGAGACAAAAAGCCGTCTTTCATTATGCTTGCCTGCTTCTTTATTATTTTTGAACAAGAACATGTAGTCGCCGTTGGTGGGCCATCACCCATTTTAAGAATGTGGTGGGGAGGGCGGGGGGGATGCGAAAGGCAAGTTGCCTTAGGTGGCAGATTCGGGAGGTGGGCATTAAATAGACGTGTGCTTTCTCAAAAGCGAGAGGGAAGTTCTCTCCCGGCTGGGAAAGTGAGATTTGGGGTGGCTCCTTCACACCCCAGTGGCTAGTAGAACCAGGTGAAATTATGCAAAATAAAAGCAATTTGGCAACTGGCTTAATCTGCATGATGCCTTCTCGACACAGAGCTTGGTAAAGACTTGTGACATTCCAAATGTGGGTTTGCTCCTAATTGGCAGCTAATTTTGCTAGCAGCTCACGCTCCTTGCGAGTGGGATGTGCCAGCAAGACTCAGTGCCACCAGTACGGTTTGGTACCCGAGGGCCAGTTGAGCTTGTGGCACCGAAGGGTCTGGATTTAGCGCTAGGACCGCCAGTTGCCCTTCTGCCAGGAACAGCCGGTCTCTGCAGGCCACTTCCATCGTCCCGCCACGGGCCCTGCCTGGAGAGCCTGCCAGTGCCACCCTCAGCCGGCTGGGAGAACCAGCCCCGTGGGACTTTCCCAGGTCGGCCTTCACTCGCCTCCCGAACTTGATTTGCGGAAGCAGAGCGGGTGGCTCCGCTTTAGCAGCCTGTCTGACTGACGGGCAAATCCCGGACAAACAAGCCGCCTTCTGGGATTGTCGCTGTGTGGTCATGGGGTTTATGGTTCCGCTTGTCCTGATTGGCCGTTTCCTTAACTTTGCTAATGACAGGAAATCAGCAGTTGGGCATCCTTGTGTTGCAAGATGGGGATGCTGCTTCCGTAGAACAAGAAGTGCAGAACACGTGGAATTAATCTCTTGTGGAACATTTGGCTGGAATAATGCAACGTTATATAATGTGTCGAGCTTTTGATTCCAAAAGGAGGTGGTACGGCGGTGGTCTCTTGGGCCCATCAGGATTTTTGAGGAAGTGGTGAGAGTACTAGCTGCCAGTCCCATTCTGGCCACGCGTTTTTCCAGAGCTTTTCTTTGGGGTCTCAGCCGCGCAGGGCCATTCAGCAGGGAGCAGGGAGCAACCTGCATGCTCACCCTCCTCCCTTCCGCTTTTGGGGAGGATCCAAACCCGGGTGGTGGAGTGGATTCACTGACCCAGATAGAGTCCTGGGCATCCGGGCTTCACAAGAGGTGGTGGCAGGCGATCGGGAAAGGCCCTTCTCTGCCCGAGACCCGGCTGAGGGGCTGCCGGTGGAGTGGGCAGTGCTAGATGCACCCCTGGCCCAGTTCGGCAGCTTCCTCTCTGCTCCTTTTGAGAGGAGGAGACTGCATCCTTTGCCTCCAGGCTCTGACTCAAACAAGCTCCCATGTGGCCCAGCGCAGCACATGTGGATGGAACCACAGACTCTCTGCTACAGACATAGGAGCATAACGTTCTAATTTTCCCGTCTCATATGCAATTGAGTGGAGGAAGAGGAGGAGGGGATGTGGAAGCCAGCGGCTTTCCACAGCTCATGTTACTGGCAAGAGAACACGGCTTGCTCTAGCTAGCGCAGGACCCGAGGAAGGATGTGGCTTCGTTCCCCGTACAGCAGGAGCTCTGGCCGCCCGAGGCTTTGAATTTGCTGGCAAGCCCTAAAGCACCGCTTACGGGGATTTAAGCGGGTGGAGCAGGGTCAAGCGCGGAATGCAGGGAGGACGAGTTTAATGCAGATCCAGTGTGGACATCTGGGAACAGGGTCGCTGATACAGCGCAGTTGCGTTAGGTGGCATCTCTGCTTCACGCTAATTGGCTTTAAGGTGTGACTTCCCAGGAGTTAGCTGGATCCAGCAGTGCATTCCAGGTCATCGTGACACCCTCCGTCGTGTCCAGTTGAAGAAGTCTGGGGTTTTTCCGAAGGATTCACTAAGGGGATCAGAGTGCCTGCAAACTGCTGTAGGGTGCCAGTTCAGATCCAGCGGAGGTCTGCAGGTGAGCAGTTCCACCTGCCGCCCTAATTGAGCAAAAGAATGGGGGATGTTTTCATGCTTAAACTACCAGCCAGACAGGCATGACTAGGGACTGTCCGCCAAGGGCCGGGTGCTCCCGGTTGCCATCCATTTCAGGACCGCCTGTGGGGATCATTAAGACTTGGGCTCCGGCGGGGCTGGCTTAGCCATCTTTCCCCTCTAGTGGAGCAGGCCGGCAGGCTTCCTTGACTGCACCGCCTTCTCCGTCCTGGTTGGAGTACGGATGATTCAAATCGAAACTATTTCTTGGAGTCGGAGGTGGCTCTCCCAAAGGATCCATGAGGCAGGGATGGGCTGATGGAAGCAGAACATGGAAGGCCAAGGGGAAGCTGGGAAACGGCTGAGCTGGGATGCAGAGGAAAGGGGAGCGGGATTGCGTCCCCCACCGGCCTCGGCAGCAGGGCACGTGTGGGTCACAGGGCGGCAATGCCCTCCCCTTCCTGACTCGCAAGGGCGGCCACGGACCAGACGGCGCCTGGTGCCCCAGACTGTTCTTGCAGCTGCCAAGCCAGTGCTCGCAAAGAGCAAGCAAGGACGGGCGTGCAGTGGCACCCTCGTGTCCATGCTCCCCAGCAACTGATGTGCAATGAATTTGTCCAAGTTGCGCATCTTCTGCAGCCGTCCGCATTGGTGACCCTCCCTAGAAGTGAATTCCATACTTCATGCGCTGTGTAAAAGAGCCCTTCCTTACACCTGGGCTGACCCCCCCCCCCATCAGCTTCGTGGAGTGGCTCCTTTGGGTTCTGGTATTAGGAGAGACGGAGGAAAAGGCCTCCCTGTCCACATAATTTGTGCACCTCCGTGTCTCCCCTCCCTTGCCCTTTCTTTATGCTGAAGAGCTTTGAAACCTTTCCTGGAGCTCCTCTGTCATGCTCGATTTCCAGCCTCTTTAGCACAGCATTTCCAGCATTTCGGAAGCACAGGGAGGGTGCGGGGGCTCCCACGGGCTTAAAATGCCACCAAAGCACCTTATCGGTTCTTGCTAGCCTCGAGAGGCGTGTGGGCGGCACTTGCATCCATCAGATCCTCCTGCTCGGGAGTGAAAGCTCACCCCAAAGCCCTTCCTTATTTTCTGGTTGCTGTTTGGGAGCTTTGAATGGCAAATGTGCGAGTCTTGGGGAGGTTTGTTACAAGCCGGACAGAGAGCAGTGAAGCTAAGCGCTCTGCTGCAGGTCGCGCGGGCACCAGTCTTGCCACTCTGGGGGCTTAATGTTGCCGAAAGGTTGGGGGCTCATTCTTTCTCCTGGTGAGGGGCATAGCTCAGTGGTGCCCCCCCCCCCAGTGGAAAGGACCACCTGGCAGGCGGCAGGAAAGCGCCCCAGGCCCTGAAGCGCCCTTGCTGGCAATCGGACTGCAGAGTGCTGGGTTCGATGGACCAGTCAGCCTGACCCGAGGGAAGGGGCTTCCCGGGTTGCTTGTGCTGCTTGCATTGCTGCTTGCGCCGCGTGTGTGACGGCCCGTAATTGTGGCGGGGCAGCACAGGTGACGGAGCGCAAGACAAGGAGGGCGTCGGAGGGTCTTGGGCAAGCAGGAGTTAAGAATCGAGACGCTCTCCTGGCTTTTTGCTCGAGGGTCTGAATCCTGGCTGCTCACTGCAGTTTTTCTGCAGGTGCTTCAAGGATGTTTGAGTCAAGCACATTTTTTAGCCGCGCATCCTGGAAAGAAGAGCCGCTCCTGTCTCAGGTTTATCTGCCTTGGCACTTCTCTCCTCCTGGCCCTTCCGGGCTGATGTCAGACCTTCCCTGGGACCGCCTCACAAGGACTCAGTTGCCAGTGTGGGCAAGTGTTGGGCAGGAGTTGAGGAGGAGACGGGTTCAAATCTCCGTGAGAGCCAGGGTGGCGTAGTGGCTAAGAGCGTGGGACTGGGACTCAGGCGACCCGGGTTCTAGTCCCCGCTCAGCCATGGAGCCAGCTGGGTGACTTTGGGCCAGTCACAGACTCTCAGCCCAACCTACCTCACAGGGTTGTTGTTGCGGGGATAAGATGGAGGAGGAGAGATGATGTAAGCTGCCTTGAGCCCTTTGTAGGAAAAGGGCAGGATATAAATCGAAGGGGAGAAAAAAACCCCCACCCAGCCTTGGAGCTTTCTGGGTGAACCACCGACCCGTCACTCTCGCTTAGGCTAACCTGCCTCACAGGCTGCCCAGTCTTCAGAGGGTTCCTCTTCCCTGTTTCTTTCTGATAATTTCATATACATCCTTTTTTAAACAACAACCCCCTCTGTGTTTTCTTTTAGGTCTGTTAGCCAACATCACCATGTTCAGCAAGAAGAAAAAGCGCATTGAGATATCCGCCCCCTCCAACTTCGAGCACCGGGTCCACACGGGGTATGACCAGCAGGAGCAGAAGTTCACGGGGCTGCCCAGGCAATGGCAGGGCATCATCGAGGAGTCGGCCAAGCGGCCCAAGCCCCTGGTGGACCCGGTGTGCATCACGGCCGTGCAGCCCGGCTCTCAGAAGGTGGGTGGCCCTGGCGCCGTCCTCGTGTGAGCCGCACGCTGGTATGCCGCGGCCTGCGGGCAGCTGCTGCCTGGCTCTGCCCGGCCACTGTGCCCAGAATGTTAACGGGGGGGGGGGGGCGTGCCATGAGCGCTGGTTGAGTGGGCTCCGCGGACAAAAGCCGCTGACTTCCCCAGGCGGCACGGGATTTAGCTCCGAACAAAGGAACGCTTCCTACTGCTCAGGGGGACAGGTATAGGTATGGGCCTGGGCACTGGCAAGCCAGAAACCAGGTTCTGCAAGCACTGACAACTGGTCTTCAACCGGAACTGGACACTGCCAGGCCTCAAGGCGTGTGTCTGAAGGGGACGCGGTTTCCTTGCTGAATTGTCGTGCTTGCTCATTCGTTCTCTTAGAGGTTAAAGGTGGTGAGCTGGGGAGAAAGAGGAAGGAGGCGGAACTGACTGCATTGTCCGGCATCTGCCGCATTCTCGACAGGGTCAGAATTGCTGAGGGGCGCCTGTCGTGTGCTTGCTGTTTTAGTTTGCTCCGCAAGAGGTGCTCTGGTTCGACTCATATCTCATGCCAGTTGCAGGTAGAAATGAGTTACTAGACAGTTTTTTTCATGGAGGTACCTGTATAGGCATTAGTTTAGCGATGGTTATGTTTCCAAGGGCAAGCAGGATTCAGGGTGGTGACAAGACCAAGAGTGAACTCGGTCAATTAAATGAGGCATCATGTTACAGAACAGGCAGAAATCTTACCGTTGGATCAAAATATTTGCATTTTTAAAACTAGGCCAAGTGGTTTATGCCTAAGGGTGCATCAGATGGAATGTATGTTTGCATGTCCAGGTGTGTGCAGTGGTGGATCTCCTGGCCAGTCAACAGAACAGTATCCTTGCTTGATGTGTTCTTATACTGAACAACTGGGGCTGGGAAGCCAGAAATAACTTTTCAAGTATTTTGGCTGGCGCAGCTGGTGGCTTTTCTCAGGAAGCAGGCAGGCTGGTAAACACGGCCCCGTCCCTGACCAAAGAGGCGGCGCCTTTGCATTTCAGGTCAGAGGAAAAGCTGCACCTTGCAATCTTAGCCGTGGGTGACTCAGGCGTGGTCTGTTCCTGGGGAGAAGCGCGTGTGAATGAAAGCCGAAACCTGTTGTTCTAGTCCTCTGACAGCCTGGTGAAGAATATGGTGAGACTGGCCTCCATTTGTTCGGGAGGCCACGATGTCAGGAGATTTCTTTCTTAAGCAGAAGTCTTCCACTGCCCCCCCCCCCCCGCCTGTATGTCCTAGTCTGGCTCTGGCTCTGGCTCAGTGCTGCTTGACCGGAGCCCGTAAAAGGTGCTCCGCGTCCCCCTGCCCCCACTCTCCATGCCGCTTGTGGTGGCTGGCAGTGCCCCGTTCTCCGCGCAGGCCAGTTTGCATTGAGTCTGGGTGAGGGCTGCGGGGGGCTTCCACACAGCCCCTGCCTTCCCGGTGAACGGCGGTGCCGCTTGCTGCTTTTCCCGTGGCGGCGTGCTGCAGGATGCCTTGCTGGGGCCGGGGGAGGCACCGCCCTTGCTTCCCGGGTGGGGGCTGCAGGGAGGTGGGGCCACGCTGCCCTCCCCGAGGGGCCAGGCTCTTGTTCTGCTTGCCACAGCTGCAGGGGGCATCTCGGGTTTCTGCAGCCGCTGCAACATGCATCTGGCTTTCCAAGGAGGACACTTCGGAAGCTCGTTCGAATGAGCAGGCGGCCTCTAAGCGGCTCCCAGTTGAGGAAGAGAGAAGTGCTTGCCCTCGCTTGCTCTTTGCTTACCATGGCCAGGCATTCAGCCCGGCCTCTGCTCCAAAGGGAGCTTCCCTGGTAGCCGCCTTGGTGCCGAGCAGAGTGCTCTGCTGATGTGGATTTAGACGCGCCTTGCGCCAAGTTCACTAGACTGTTCCAGGTCATCGATTCTTACCATTTATTTTTGATCCTAATTAGGAACGGTTTTGCCCAGAATGTGGGCCCCGTTTGGCTTGAAAGCGGGAGTGTTTTTTTGCATGCACTTGGGAAACAGCGGGTTCCTCTCGCCCTCCTGACCCCTCCTTCTGCCGGATAAGCGGTCTCGATGTGCCCGCGTGGCGAGTGGAGTTATGCGCCGCGCAGGCCGGGGCGAGAGGCCGGGGCGTGCGGTGAGGGGAGCCTTCGCGGAGCGGAGAGGCCTGGGGTGGGGGCCTGACGCAGAGGGACGCGCTGCAGCCGGGGAGCTCATGCACCGGGGCAGGAGGCGGCCTCCGCCTCTCCGCCTGCATCTTCCTTCCCCACTCAGAGATGCTGCTTAGTGGCCGGTGCGTGCCATCTGCAGAGCGTGGCAGAGCTCCTCTCGGACGTGTGCCCTTTAAAACTGCAAAGCTTGCCTTGCGTGTCTGAGTTTCCTGTCGCAGGGAGAGCCGTTGGCTGGGAATTATTCCCATGGGGAGGCGCTCTATTCTGCTCTGCCTGCACCCTGGAGTCGGACGGGGCCTGCCGGTTGCGTGGGACCAGGTCCTCTTTTGCAGCAGGGTCCAGAGCTTTGGAGGCTGCTGGCGGTGCTCGGGTCTGCCTTGCCTCCAAGAGGAGGGTCGTGATCAGCTGCGGTGCGTTGATCGTGTGCGCATGTAGTCATACATCTCTCTCCACTGCCACCGCACGCGCCCTGTCAGCCCCGAGACAAAATGCACATTTCTGGAAGACATGTGGGACTCACAGCAGACTCTTGCAGCCAGGCAATAACTCAGCCACTGACTTGCAGACGGCCTTCGATAGGCAGTTGTCAGTGCCCTCTGCTGGCCTGGCCCACCTGTGAGGCTGCGGGAGAGAGCCTGCAACCTGCTGGTTAAAAGAGCCGGAGCATAATGATACGCCGGGGTGGGTCGGAGGTGGCGGCATCTCGTCCGCTTTGGATGAGGTTGGAGGAGCTGGCAGAGCGGAGGGCAGGCAGATGGAGGGAGGGCGCCGTCATGCCATATTTGCAGCTTGGATGATTTGGTTTGGCAGGTAACGTGAGTCCTGCGTTGTGCCCTGTCGCCTCCCAGGTGTGCTGCTCTCTTTCTCCACGGAATAATCCCGGAAGATGCACTGCACCTGGGATTAGGTGGCTTCCACAGGAGAGGCTTAACCACCCAGTGGGCTGGAGCCTTTATGGTACTGCTTCTGGTGACCGCGCATCGCACGTAGGCTACGAATAGGCCAAGGGCAGTTGCGCCAGCCAGACACCAGTGCCAGAGGCGGCCTTCTGTGAATGGCAGCCTTCCCCAGCCGGGGGCTCTGCACGTGCACCGGGATGCGGCTCCCATAAGTCAGAGCCACCCACAGGCACTTAGCTCACAGCCTGGTGCTGAAAGCCCGAAAGAGTTTCAGCTGGCCTGCCAGGGGGTCTGCGTGTGTGGCCGGCCCGGTCCTCCGTACACCGTGGGAGCACCACGCAGGGTGCTCGGCCCAGAGTGCAAATGTGGGTGTGGGCGCTGGGAGGAGCCCGGGTGAGAAAATGGTGGAGTCGGTTCTAAGGGTGAGCTGCACACGGCAGATCCGGGTGTTCACGGGGCCTCCTCTGGGTTCGGATTTCGTGGCGGGAGGCGACACGGGTGCCGCGGTTTGCAAGCCCTGGCCTCTGGCAAGAGTCAGCAGTTCCGCAAACTGGGTCAATATGAAATCGAAGCTGTGCGGACTGATCTTTCTAAATAATGTAATGCATTTTCGCTTGATAACACTGTCGGTGGTTCAGGCTGCAGGCAGCCCTGCACACTCAGGCAGTGACTGAGCAGACGCGTGGATTCCTCTCAGCGCCGCCGTACCTGCTGCGATCCATATTTGCAGCTTTCAAGGAGCGTTCGGTGTGTGGATGGAATGAAATCAGGAGATGTCTGGCAGGGGGGGCGCTTTGAAGTCCTCGTTTCGCCTGTCTGTGAGCAGCTTCCCTTCCCCGGCCCCCCACGTCCCGCTTCTGGCTGCTCTGTTGTGTGCGCAAAAGCCTCGCCGTGCTGAGGCTGCTGTCAAGCTTCCATCAGGCACCTCAGTTTTTGTTTTGTTTTTTTATGTTGCTTATTGTATTTTCTTTTATGTTTGTGTGTCTTCCCCCCCCTCCATTTCCTGTGCGCCACACATAGACCATCGTGCGGGGGAACAAAACCGCCAAGGACGGCTCCCTGGCCTGGCTGCTAGATGAGTTTGAGAACATGTCGGTGTCGCGCTCCAACTCTCTGCGCAGGGACAGCCCTCCCTTCCCGCCCCGGCACGACCAGCTGCACCAGGAGAACGGCCTGGGCGAGGCGCTGGCCAAGCCTCGCCACCACCGCCACCGCCACGCCGAGGAGGGCCCGGGGGGCCACGGGAGCGAGGAGCACAAGGAGCGGCATCGCCACGGGCCCAGGAGCGAGCTGGACCCGAGCAGGGAGAGGAGTCGGGAGCACAGGACTGCCCCGCCGCCCCCTCGCGGGCAGGAGCCTGCCAGCCGATCCCAGCGGCCTCCGCCTCCCGAGTACCACAAGCCCTTCTCGGAGCAGAAGCCCCGGGCGCACGAGCGCGAGGGGAGGAGGGAGCCCCCGGCCGAGAGGGAGTCGGCTGACCGCGTGGTCAGGAGGGAGCGCGCCGACGGCCCTGAGAAAAGACCCAAGTCCACTTACACTGGCGAGGCCAGCCCGCAGTCCCCCCGGGAAAAGCGGCCCCTCTCGGGGCCAAATATCCGGACCCCCAATATCCCTGTCTCTGAGGGCGTCATGAAAACAGCACAGCAGACGGGGCGACCTTTTAACACTTACCCACGCGCGGACACGGATCCAGTCCGGGGTGCTCAGGTAACGATTCCCGCCTCTGTTCGTAGCTCGGGCGCGTCAGGCCCGGCCAGCCGGGATCGATCCCCTGGAGGCGCTGCTCTTTGGGCACGTGATCTCATCGGCAGAGACGGCAGGTCCTCCCTCGCTGGAGTGAGGACTGACACTCTCCCTGGCTTAGCCTCAGGCGGTTGATGGCGTGGGGGGCTGTGAGCTTTCCCGGAACCACCAGGCCAGCGAGGGCCACGGATCAGGACGACCGTGCCGAGCGCGCCTTTCCTCCACTCCCTGCACCGTTGCTCTGCTCTCCTCCGCCTCTGCTGGCCCGTCCGCATTTCTCCGTGGACCAGCGGCCCCTTGCTTCGTGCCCACCGTGTTCTTCCCGTGCGAGGAGTCCTGCCCTTCCGCCCCTGTGCTGTGGCACTGCTTGCCTCCACTAACCGAGCCGCTCCTGTGTGGCCGCCTCCGGAAGGAAAGGAAGTCGGAAGGTGCTCGTTCCGCTCCCTGAAGGCTTCTAACAGCCCCGCACTGCTCTCTGTCGTGTCTTCTCTGTGCAGCAGCTCCTCTTTCTGTCTTTGTAGAAGCCCTACAAGTGTGCGACGTTGTATCGTATTGTGGGTGCAGCGGGCCCCCACGGCGAGGGCAGCCTCTCAAACAGCTGCTGGATACCTGGTGCCCTTTCTCAGCATTCATTCCTGCACCTCTGCCACCTTTCCTCCTCCTCCTCCTCCTCCTCCTCCTCCTCCTCCTCCAAGAGCAGTACCATCCTTAGCCGCAGATTCTCTTTGCACCCAACTAACCACTAACATTTCCACCTTGGCTGCTTTGTGCTACCCTAGCAGGAAGTTCGCCTGCTCTCCTCTTCCTCTTTCTGTCCGCGGAGTGGAATTGGGTGTGCTTGTCCTCGGCAGAACCCTCCTTCCCGCAGGTGGGAGGAGATGGCCCGCTGTGGCCCGATTCAGCCGCCTCTGCGGCTTTTCTTTGCTCGGCATGGCGGGGGGGGGGGGTTGTGGGGGGGGCTCCTTAGCAGAGTGGGACACAGCGCCTCTGGCTGAAAGGGACCTCTGCACTTGGGCTTTGGACAGGGCGTCTGCTTGGACAAGGCAGAAGGCAGAAGAGGCCGCTCTTGTCTTGCTGTGACAGATGCGTGAAAGGCCAGGGAAAAGCCCTCTGCTTGTGTCTCTGGGAGCGCCTGCTGGCCACTGGGCCCGTTTGGGCCCGTTGGGGGTGTAACGTGCCTTGGCGACACGTGTCCGGGGTGGCCGTGGCTTGTTCTGTCGGGGGAACCCAGCAAGAGAGGGTCTTGCCGGGCCACTCCCACTCACTCCGGGAGCAGCCCGAGGGCCCCGTGTGGGTTGGCTGACACTGCAGCAGGCCTCAAACCCCAGGTGGTCAGTTGGCCCCGGTCCGCCCCAGGCCTGCTGGGCTGTTTCTGTGGGTTCCTTATTACAATTATTATTACCACCACTATTACACTCCCGGCTTCCCCTTTTCCTCTTGTGAGGGAACCCAGGGGGACATGCATAGCTCCCTGTTACCCTCCAACAACCCACTGAGGTGGAGCGAGAGTGCCTGGGCGGGACACCCAAGTGCCCAGCCCGGTGCGCTGCCCACCACGCTGGCTCTTCTGGCGTGCAGGGTGTTGCGGAAGCGTCTTACCTGCCTTGCCTGCTTAAAGCGGGGCCTGAGCCGGCCCCAAGCCCACGCATCGGTGCAGGGAGGTTGCTAACATAAGTGCTTTCCCCTCTCCTCTTTCTAGGCAGAGCACAGGCCCGGGAGACCCCACGAGACGGCATCCAACGGCCCCATCAGCGGAAGCAGCGGCTCCTCCCGAGGGCCCCCGTCAGGCCCAGCGAGACCCAAGAACCCAGAGCCGCCCCGTCCAGGACTCACCCAGCACGCGTCGGACCCCCACTTGACCCACGCCCCCCCACCGGCCCCTCAGCCTGCCCACCCCCAGCAGGCCCCCCCGCCCCAGCCACCAGCCCAGCCTGCCGCGCCGCCTCCCCCAGCCCCGCAGCAGCCTCGCTCCCCGCAGCGCGAGCCCCAGCGGGTGTCCCACGAACAGTTCCGAGCCGCTCTGCAGATGGTTGTTGACCCCGGCGACCCCAGGACCTACCTGGACAACTTCATCAAGATCGGCGAAGGCTCGACGGGCATCGTCTGCATCGCCACCGTCAAGAGCAGCGGGAAGCTGGTTGCCGTCAAGAAGATGGACCTGCGCAAGCAGCAGCGGCGGGAGCTGCTCTTCAACGAGGTGTGGGGGGCGCGGGGGACGGGGCCGTCGCCTGCCGGCACGTGTGAGCCAAGGGGCTGGTGCTTCTGTGCTGACGAGGGTCCTCGTGGCTGTGGTGGGGGGCTGGCGGGGGCTTCCCACAAGAGTTTCTTCTTGGTCACTGCCGCAGGTTTGAAAAGCAGAGGGGGACAACCGAGAGCACCGGTCGGCCCAGGCAAATCTGCAGGCCGGACAGGAGGGTCTGACTTGGTGTGTGTGGCGTATTTAGTGAGCAGGGGAAGCAGGGAAATGGCTCATTTCACGTGCGGGAGAAAGATAAACGCTTCTGAAAGACCCGCTTTCAGCAGCCCCTCCTGGGGTATTTGGTCACCAGTGGCGAGGCTGCAGCCTGGACTGGCCTCGCCCCAAGTTGGCCGTGTGGACCCAGCAAGGCTGGATTGCGTGCGGCTCAGGTAGCCGTTGTGCAGCTGCAGTCTGTTGCAGGGTTGTGTAAGGGTTGGAACTGATCGTCGGAACCATCGTTTTTCTAACCCTAACGATGTATTTTCACTCCATCCCTAATTTTAGGCAAAAGGGTATTGTGTGCCATCCAGAGACTCAGATTGGATGGCCTGGAAATAGCCCAATCAGTCAATCAATCAATCAATCAGTCAGTCAGTCAATCAGTGCATGCCCTGGAGCCTGAGTTCGCAAAATGCCATGAGGTGGGGATTTTTCTGCACTGCTCACCTTCTGGGCCCAGCCTACAAATGTTGCAGGCTGCAGAAAGTTCGTTGGGACCGTCATTTTTCCAACCCTAACCCTAACCCTAACCCTAACCTGGATTTTCACCTAACCCTGATTTTAGGGAGAAACGGCCATGCCCCAGATGAGCTGCAGTGCATCATTCAGAGCTGGTTGGAGCTTAGCTGTTGAGATGGCTGATGGTGTTGTTCATAGGCCAGAGAGCTGTTCTTTGATAGTGGTTGTGTGTGTGTGTACGTACACGTGTGAACACATGTTGAAAGCTTCCTAGGGATTGTTGCCTGAAATTGCCCCATTTAACTGGAGTCTTAGCCATTCGTTATATTACCAATTTGTTTTAGCCCGGTCCTTTCATAACTGGAACGAAGGCCAGTCCGTGTTGCTAGGACTGCTGGAAAGAGCTGGCACTGCTCTACCACACGGGCTGTTGGCCTTGGCAAACGCCTCGGCGAAAAGGGTGTGAAAGGAGAGCAAGGCTGGCGCAAGGCAGGCCTCTGTGGGGAGATCGTTCCATCGTTTGGGGGCTTCTCCCAAGAAGGCCCCGCTCCTTGTTGCCGCCAGATGAGGCTCCCTTGGAAGTGGAATTGGTGGAAAACCTCAGAGTGTCATGCCCTGGGGGAACTGTTCCAGCAAATGCTGTGTGGTTCCCAGGTTTAATTTAATTTTCTTCAGAAGAAATGCCCAGTGATGAATCCAGGGCGAGGCCTCGCAGGAGCGTATTTGGCAGGCAGGCGGGCCAAGCAGTGTGCGCAACCGTTGTGGGAAGTTCCAGGGTAGTTTTTCCTTCGGCCTTTTCAGCTGCCTTCACAGCCTGGCTAGTGGTGGGACCCGGAGCCAAATGAACCAGAAGGCCAGCTCTGGCAAGGACTCCGGCTCCACGTTGCCCCTGCCCCTCCTCTTGCGAAAAGGGGACGGGACCCGGGCTGGCTGTGCTCTTCTTCGCTTCAAGCAGGCACCTTGGCATCTCCCAGCTGCCCTTTTCCGGGCTGCCCCCGGGTTGAGGATTGTGCCGTGCGCTTACACAGGAGCCCCGGGGTTCTCTCCCTCCGGCACGCGGCGTCCGGCGGCTTCCTCCCTCTCAGCGCCTCTGCCCTGCTTTTCCGTCCCAGGTCGTGATCATGCGGGACTATCAGCACGAGAACGTGGTGGAGATGTACAACAGCTACCTGGTGGGGGATGAGCTGTGGGTCGTCATGGAGTTCCTCGAGGGGGGCGCGCTGACCGACATCGTCACGCACACGAGGTACGGGGGAGGGGAAGGTGGGGAACGCGCGAGCTTTTCTGCCTTGTGTCCAGTCAAGGATCTGAGAAGAAGTTGGGAGGTGGCGAATCCGTTCCGTCGCCTCCCTCTTAAAAACAGTGAGGGAAGGTTTTGTCTCCCTGTCGTAAAAGTGGAACATGGGGACACCTGGCCGGGCCGGCGAGCGGGGTCCGCGCTCAGTGCGAAGCCTTTTCTGCAGCGGCTCTGGCAATGGCTTGCCGCGGACGGCCTTTAGAAGGGTGCGGCTGATTTTAGGAGAGGCGCCGGAGCCGCGGCGGTTGAGTGTTCAGAAGCTGCTCACAGCCTCTTGCTGAGAAGCAGGAGAGGGCGCTTTCCATCACGCCCTGCTGGCTCCCGGGGGCTCCTGGCTGGCCACCGCTGGGAGCGCGAGGGCTGCTCTCAGGCTTGTGCGTGCGACAGGCGCTGTGTCCTTACTCCGCTTCCAGGATGAACGAAGAGCAGATCGCAGCCGTCTGCCAGTCTGTCCTGAAGGCGCTGTCCGTCCTGCACGCCCAGGGCGTCATCCACCGAGACATCAAGAGCGACTCCATTCTGCTCACGCACGACGGACGGGTGAGCTGCAGGCACCGCCGTGGCGGGGCCTGAGCGCATGCGTGCGTGCCTTGGCCCCCGGCTGGGCCCACCGATCTTGGCTGGCTTGGGGAGGGGCCGTGTGGCCTCCGGCAGGATGCCTGGACGGCGGCTGCCTTGCAGGCGGCCGGAGGCTCCAGCCGGTGCAAGAGGGAGCTGCCAGAATGTGTCTGGGCTGCGACTTGGGCAATTTGTGTCGTTTGCATTGGCTGCCCCTTTGCTTCTGGTCTCCGTTTAAGGGGAGCCTTTGCCGCTTTTGAAACCTGCTGGGTGAAAGACCACCTGCACCCCATACAGACCTTGCCGGGTCCTGCTTTTGGGCCTCCCACAAAGGTGGTCCTGGTTGGCAGTTACGAGGGGAATGTCCTCTTCTTAAAATGTTCACTCCTGGAGTGGGCGGGATGGGATGGGACGGGACGGGGGCTGAGGGCCTGGGGTGGGGCATTGCCAGTCAGCTGCACTTGTCTCGGGCTCTTGCCTCCTCCTCATGACTCACTTAAAAGATGTGTTGGGAATAGAGCTGGCTTGTGGAAGCAGGGGACTGCAGGTTGTGGAAGCAGGGCTGGAAAAACGCTTCCCAAGCACCCCCCACGCCACAAGCGCTTCCCCAGCGTCTGCCGCGCCGTCGGCATTAACCGTCTCTCGATCTCCTTGCAGGTCAAGCTCTCCGACTTTGGATTCTGTGCGCAAGTGAACAAGGAGGTGCCACGGCGCAAGTCCCTAGTTGGGACCCCTTACTGGATGGCCCCAGAGCTCATCTCCCGGTTGCCCTATGGGCCAGAGGTAAGGGGCACCAGGGAAGGCAGGCCGACAGACACATGGGGCTCTGGGATGTGAGGGAGAGCTCTCCTCCGAACAGGGAACGGTGGGTGGTGTCGGGGTTCCCGCTTGGCCCAGAGAGGGACAGTGGGGCCTGCTTACCGGACAGTCGGGGGAGACTATGGTCCCCCGGGAAGGAGACAGAACTGGGGTTGTGGCCTGCCTCTTGCTGGGGTTTTGCCCAAGTTCCTGTCCTTTGTGTTTCTGGAACGGTTTTGGGCACCAGGACTAGGAAAGGCCTTGTGTGAAATCCTAAAGCTCTGGTGGGACACAGCGACTGCCTCCTGCCCTCACGTCCGGGTCAAAAAGCAAAGCGAAGCAGAACAGAATGCGAGCACGAAGCCTTTCCGTTCCAAGCGTGCCAACATCCAGGGCGGGTTGTGGCAGGATCACCAGGCCCCTGCGACGGGCTGGTTTGATGCGCTTGCCCTTTGCTCAGCCGGCTCTGTCGTCTCCGCCAGGGCGAGGGGGTCGTGCAGGAGGGCCCCCGTTGTGCGGAGGAGCTTTTCCGCAGGGGGCTGTGCTGGCCACCCTTTGGCAGGGATGCGCGCTCTTCCCCGCTCCGTTCGTTGCGTTTCAGGTGGACATCTGGTCTCTTGGCGTGATGGTAATAGAAATGGTGGACGGAGAGCCCCCCTACTTTAACGAGCCCCCTCTGAAGGCCATGAAGATGATCCGGGACAACCTGCCCCCAAAACTGAAAAATGTGCACAAGGTAACTCAGCCCTTTCCTGCTCCCGGCTTCTCCCTGCCGGCCTTTGCCACTTCGGGAGGATCAGAGGTTGGACTTCCAAACACCCAGCTAGGCTCCTCCTCCAAGAAGGCTGTGTGACAGAGTGGTCAAAGAAGTCTGCTGGGCCCCAGGAGGTCCTGGTCCTCCCTCCCTCAGCCATGAATCTCAGAACCACACCCTTTAAAAAAAGGAGGGAGGCACAGCCAGACGCATCTGTTTGGGGAAATCGTGTTCCCCCTCCGGTTTTTATGGTGAGAAGGTGGGCTTGCGGTCTGAGAAAGAACAGGGATCACCAGAAGATGCTCCATAGCAGTGACGTTTTCATGTGGGTGTTGTATTTTTTTAAAAGATACCGTAGTTCCTTCCTGCAGAAGCAGCCTTGAAGATTTGCTCCGGTCTTTTAGTGCAGTTATCAAACGGGGCCAAGCCCTGGGCAGAAGCCATAAGAGCGCTTTGAGGAATCCTGCAGAATAAACGTTTAAGCGAACATGAACAACTCCCTTCGGGGACTCCACCTGCTCCCTTCCAGGCCAAATGTGGCTCGGCTCCGGTTGTCCCCAGTTGGACTGGATGCGGCACTCTGTGGGGGTGGGCCAGGCTCACGGGGGCCGGAGCAATCGAGCGCGCAGTCAGCTTAGGAGGAGCCCCGCTGCTGGAGCGCGTCTTCGTGCGCCTGTTCGTGGCGTGTGGGTGCACGTCGCTCTCCCGGGCTGACCTTCCTCGAGTGCGGAGCACCAGTTACGGAAGCCGGGCTCCAAGGCACGCCTCTGGCCAGGGAGGAGAGGCCTGTGCGCTCTGCTGCGGGGGCGGGGGGCATTTGGGGGCGCAAGCAGTGGGGGCGCAGCTCACTCTCGACTGTGCTCGCCCCCTCTGCGGAGGCCCGGAGTAGCACCGCCTCGGCGCCTGGGCAGAAGTCCGCAGGGTGGCGTGGCTGACGTCCCCTCCGCTTCCCCTCCCGCTCCAGGTGTCCCCCTCTTTGAAGGGGTTCCTCGACCGCCTGCTGGTGAGAGACCCTGCGCAGCGAGCCACGGCCAGCGAGCTCCTGAAGCACCCCTTCCTGGGGAAGGCCGGCCCCCCTTCCTGCATCGTGCCCCTGATGCGCCAGAACCGGATGAGATGAAAGGGCGGCAGCAGCTGGACAGGCTACCAAAGAGAGCGCGGGAGACGACCCCCCCCGGCCCCCGGCCAGCCCCCACCAGGCAGCTGGAGACCTGCCGGCGGAGATGGGCTCCTGCGGCACCTCCGGCCTGACCCCCCGGGGGGAGAGATCTCCCTCCCACCAGACCAGACCGTGTGGGCACGGAGAGCCCGGCGGGGGGCTGCCTTCATTCTGGGGGTCTCTGCTTACTGACGAACCAGAGCCCCGGGACCAAATGGGGACTTGCCCGGCCTGCGGCTGCTTTCCCGCCTCTGGCAGGGACCCCCCTGGACCACCGCTCCGCACTACTGAGGGGGCAGGTCCAGCTGTGGGGTTTTTAAAGACTGGACCGTTTCTGATTGCTGTTTGATTGTGTGTATCATGGATCGAGGGCAGCGGTGTTGAGTGGGCTGGCGGGAGGCTCCGGTTGGGGGCGGCGGGCGGTGGGTTCCCTCCCAGCAGCTGCAAGTGCAGAGCAGAGCGTGGAGGCCACTGGCGAAGGTTATCCCACGGAGCGGCAGCCGTCCCCACGTGCCCGCTCGCACACGCACACTTGCTCGCTTGAGTCGGGATGCTCCTGGCGCGTCAGTCCCTGCAGGCGGTGGGGCAGCCCAAGCCGGACGTGCCCCAGGCGGTGATCCGGGAGGAGGCTGCCGCCTGCCTGCCTTCCTTTGGCCGCTTTTTCCGCAAGCCCCTCCCCGCCCTTCCCTGCAGCCTGGGCCCCTCTGTCCAGGCCGGGTGGGGGGGCTGCCCCCCCAGCCACGTGTCCCCTCCTGCTTTGCCGGCCGCGCTTTTCTGCAGGGCCCGGACAGCCCCCTGCGTCTGCCAGCCAGGCTTCAGCCAGCAGCCCCCGTCGCACGGGAAGCCAGCCTCAGGGTGGGACGTGCTCCGATATTTTGGGTGCGGAAAGGGGGACCACTGCCCGGCAAGAACCCTCCCCTCTGAACTGCCATGCGGTGCGTGTGGGGGCCCGTCTCCAGGCCGTGGCTCCTGCCCCACTGGTCCCCCAAGTCGCCGCTGCAGCTGCTGAGGGTCTGCTTGATCACACGCCCAGTCCGGGAGGGGATGGGCTGCAGGCCACCCCTCGGCCACCACGTCCCCTGAAGAAGGGGTGGAGGTGGCCACCTGGCCAGAGCAGAGCCCTGCATGCCCCCCCTTGGCGCCCCGTGTTGCCCCCTTCCTCCCACATCATCCTGCCTGGCCCGGGGTGGCAGGACTCCCGTGTCTCCCAAGAGTGGCGGCCTGCGCTCTGCTCGCGCTCCTTTCTGCTTGAGGGTCTCCACCTGGAGCATGAGGACTGCCCTGCGGAGCATCTCATTCCTGGCCTGGTTCGAGCCCGGCAGGCACAGGCTCTGTGGGCTTGTGCTTGAGGGAAGGGAGAGCGGGGGGGGGGATGGACGAGCCCCCCGGCACGGCGGGGGCCGGATGCTGCTGCTGCTTCCCCAGCGGAGGAGCAGTCGGCTGATGGCCTTGGTGGCTCATGGCCCGCTGGAGCTGCAGCTTCCCCTGAGGGGGCGAAGCCGCCCGCTCCTCGGTGCCCGCTGGGGCCCTGTGCGCGCACAGCAGGGGAACCCAAGAGCCACTGTGGGCCCCACCTGGGACCGTGCCGGGGAGCAGCGGCAGGATGCGCCCGGTGTCGGGGTGGCAGCCGGCCCGGAGCGCGGGAGGCCCCTGCGTGGGCACGGCTCCGTCCTTTTCTGTCTGCCGAGGCCCAGCGGCGGCTTCGCGGACGGAGTGGGGGGCACTGGGCCCCCCGGGGCCACCAGGCACAGAGGCTTGCCGGGAGCCGAGCGGCATCGGGCTTGCTGGGCAGCGGACTCAGAGCAGGGGAAGGAGCAGGCGCCTGCCGGGTGGGCTCAGCGGCTGTGGGGGGAGCGCAGAGCTGCCCCCGGAAGCCTTGCCGGTGCCTCGCCAGGACGCCCCCTTGCACACCGTACAGCGCCGACTTCTCTGCACGCAGCCTCACGGGCGGGGGTCTTGTTTTCCTTCATGGTTGGGGAGCCTCCCCCTGCCCGTTTTGCTCCTATGGGTCTATCGTGCACCTTCACCCTGTGGCCACGTTGGGGGGGGGGGGGGAGAGCACCTCGTTTCAGGCCCCTTCCTGCCTGGGGCGGTGCAGCGGCCTCTCCTGCTCTGCAGTTGCCTCTCGCTAAGCAGCCGCTGCTGCCGGCCTGTGGGGCTCTCCGGGCAGTTGGGGGTGCGTGTGTGTGCTTGCTTGCTTGCTTCTCCGGGAAGGAGCAACCCAGCCAGAGCAGGCCGTGCAGGATGGACCGGTGGTTCTCGCGTCCCACCTCTCCTTGGTGCCGCATGGGTGCAAACTGGCGTAGGTCGGAAGACTTGTCTGGGCAGGTGGGAAAGGACCACAGGGCAACATTTGTGGGGAGGGCCCAGGAGGTACCGGGGGCCACAGCGCGTGGCGCATTGCTCTTCCGGCTTTCCGCCACCGCAGCTTCTGCTTCCCACAGAATATTTCTCTCATCCCAGGCTCCGGGGGCTTCCAGCCATTCTGCTGGCTAACCTGCCTCCCCCCCCCGCCCCCGGTCGCGCCTCTTTGGCGGTAGGCGGCACACGCTCTGCTCTGCTCTGCTCTGCTCTGCTCTGCTCTGCTCTGCTCTGCGCCACGGTGGGGCAGGCCGGGCCGGCACTGGCGGCCTGCTCTTCAGAAAACACCAGTCCTCGGGGGCCTAGCTGAGAGCCGCTTCTTGCCGCGAGGACCCAAATTCAAACTCTGCCAGCACCCCTGACCCAGCGCTTTGCCACCAAGGACAATCCGCCTCTGCTCAAGTGCTGGGTTTCCTTAAAAGCTGGGAACAAGTTTTAACTCTACTGCAGTTTTAAATCTGAGCCATTTTGCTGACGTTTTCATCTTGCATTCACATGTAAATAGGGACCCAAGGAGGTGGGCAGGCCGCCCACATTCGCTGCCTCTGCACCCCTCGTTTTTCTGACAGCCACCGCTGTCTTGACTTCAGGAAGCTCTCCTTTTTTTAACGGCACTAACACTTCAAGAATGCAAAAACACCGGAAATTTCCTGCAGGGAAAATACTTTAACATCTCACATACTTTCAGATACTTTCAAGGGGAGTTCCTGGAGTGATCATCGCTCACCTTCCTCCACACAACCGCACTACAACAGGACTTCTTCCCAGTTCCCCGAAGTGCAGGACTGGAATTTTAACTACAGGCTGGTGGGAACCGGCCTCCACGCCCTTCTCTCCCTCCTCTGCCTCCTTGTAGCTTCAAGATTTTTATATGACTGGAGGCTTAGGAATGAGGGTCTCTCCTCCCCTATGAAAATGACTACTGATTCATTTTGTGGGTTTTTGTTACCTTTTTTAAAAAAAAGTTATTTATATTGTAATTTTTTTTGTAAGACACAACAGTATTTTGCGTTGGGATGATTTAAAAAAAAAAAACTTTCAGGCAGACAGCTGTGACTAATTCTAGTAAAAGTTCGGCCATGAGTTGTATTGTATAAAAAAAATCTGGAGTTCATGTCATGAGATTTGGCTGTGGGTTTCCTTGTTTGGTTGCTTTACAGAAATGGTGTTGAGCTTGGGTGAAAAGTTCTAAGTAGTCAAAATTCTAGTTTTGCAATTACAGAGGTTTGCTATTTCCTTTATGTTCAACTCTCTCGGGTCTCTTTTTTTTGGGGAGGTTCTCCGGCGAGCTCCCGCGTCTCCGGCTCGGCACGGGTTGTGTCCTGGCTGGCCTGCCTGGCCTCTCCGGCTGCCCAGCAGGGTGGTGCCGCACGGGAGGGGCGGGCCGTGCCGCGCCGCGCCGCCCCCACCTGTCCGGGACGACTCCTGCCCGCTGCGAGCCCGCCTGGCGCGTTCGGCCGGCCCGGCAGAGGCCGCGCTTCCTGGTGCTGCAGCGCCGCCTTGCGGGCAGCGCTGGGTGGAGCCGGCGCTGCCTGTCCCCGGGAGGTCATCCGCCCGGACAGGATCCGGCAGAGCCCCCCGCCCCCTGCTGCGTCCCACAATGCCCCCCGCTTTGGGATCCCGCCCGCCGTCGCTTCTCCCCGCGCCTGCTCCCCAGAGGAGGGGCGGCCGGCACTGAGGCCCCCCCTCTGTCCGGCACGAGCTGCGCCCGCCCCCCCCCGTTCATGCGAAAGCGGCTACTTCTTAGCCCAAGGGAGGCAGAGCCCCAGCAAGCCGGAGCCGGGCTGCGCTGCGCGGAAGTCGGTCCCATCCAGCCTCGCTGGGCCAACGCGGGCGGCTTCGTGGCCTGTCCCGGTCCCGGGCGCCGGGCTGCGCACTGCAGCTGGCCTCCCGCCAGCCTGGCTAATGGGCGGCCGGGAGGGGCGGCCGGGCCAGGCCAAGGCTGGGCCGCGGCTCTGCCGGAGAGGCCGGCTGCCGGCCAGCAAGCCCGGGGCAACCCTAAGCCCCGCCCGGAGCAGCCCGGGTTGCGTGCGGACCCCTCCCCGTGGGCCAGAGTCCTGCTGACTGTGCTCCAAATGAGAGGTTAGAGCTGCAGGGAAGACCCTCGCTCTGCAGGCAGGACGGGGCGGGGGCACTGATGGCTTCGGGGGCAAGGAGCTCGGGGAGCCTCGGCAGCCCCCCCGTGGATACCTTGAGACTGTTTCCAAACGGCCGGCAGTCGAGATTTTATTCCCCCCGCCCCCCCCCCCCCCCGCTTCCTCGCGCCACGCGGGGCAGTCCTCTTCCAAGGCGGCGGGGGAAGAGATGCGCCTTGGGCAAGTCGGGGCAGGCGGGTGCGGGCCACGCTCTCCGGCGGGCGGACGGGCAGGACTGGCATCCCCGTGGGCGGCAGCACTGCTGCTCTCGCCGCCCCGGGCCGCTGCCCCGCCCGCCCGGGCGTGCAGGGCGAGGCCGCCCGCGCAGAGCCATCCCGGGGCGCCCGCGCCGCGCCGCCACTTGCACCCGCGGGCCATGGCATCGCAGCGGCAGCTCCAGGCAGCGCGGCCGCCGGCGCCGGAGCAGGCCGAGTGGCGGCGGCGCTTCGACGCCCGGTGGGGGCTGAGCCGCCGCGGCATCCCGCTGCCCGCCGACGGCGACTGGAGGGCGCGCTGCGCGCTGAAGCCCTTCGAGAGGAACCTGCTGCGCAACCCCAACCCCGAAGGTACCGCTGCGCGCGCGCCCGCCCGCCCGCCGAGCGCGCTTCACGCCCTCGCGGCTCGGGGCGCGCCCGCGCCGTACGGCGGCGGGGCGAGGGGGCCGGGGCTCGCCAGGGGGCCGGGGCAGGCTGGGGAGTCCGCCAGGCCCTCGCCTTCGCCGGCGGGGCTCCTCCGCCGCGCGTTGCCCCTTCGCTCCGGGCGGGCTCTCCGTCGATCGGGCGGCCCAAAGCCGCGAGGCGCTTTCCCACGCGAGCGGGCAGAGCCGCGTTTGTGGCACGGGGGCAGCTCGGGTTTAGCAAAGCTGCGCTGTCTCTGATGGGAGCCCGCGCAGGACGGACGGACGGACGGACGGACGGACCGACGACGCCACAGCACCGCAACCAGGAGTGGGGCTTTGAAAAAATCATTTTTATTTCTTTGCTTTCCGTTGAATTCATTTCTGTTCGGCCCGCTAGCCAAAGCTAATGGAAAGCATTATAGCGGAAACTGTTTCCCTCTACCTTTTCACGGGGAGGGGGGAGTGTAATCTGTCAGGGGTTTGCCCTTCTGATTGAGAGCAAGACGCCTTCCGAGGCACAACCCGTGTTTGTGGAATGCAGGCTTTCCTGCTTCGCCTGTCTGGCTTTTGCAAACTGGCCATTTCTCACGGAAACCGTGTGGGTGGAGCGCAGAGGAGAGCTGCGGGAGGGCAGAGGAACCAAGATGGACGGAGCGAGGAAGGGGACGGGGGATGCCCCTGCCAGTCCCTTGGCCAGCCGCGTCATTTTAACAGTTGGCCCTTCTGGGCAGAAAGCGGGGGAGAGAGAGGATTGCTAGCACTGCTGCGATAGTGCTTTGAAGGCACCGGCCTAGGCCATTGGCAAGGGAGAGGCACTCTGAGTGTGCCCAGGAGCACTTTCTCCTCCATAAGTACTTCACCCATTCCAAAGTCCAGCTCAGCCAATGGAAAGAGGGCCAGGAGCTGGGACCTGGCTCAGGAGTAAGTGCTTTTGGTGGACAGCTGTAAGTCTCCCTGTGGATCAGGATGCTGACGAGAACAGGGTGGGAGGCAGCTGCAGGTTGCCTGATGGGCCTTGCCTGGAGGAACTTCTGGGGGGGGGGCTCCCACCCCCTGCCAGCTGCCTTATTTTTCCCCACCAGATTTTCTGGCTGGCTGAAAATCAAGCTCTCTGTCTTTACTTCAGACAGTTGGCAGAAAGCTGCAGGGAGGTCAGAGAAGCAGCCAGCCCAGCCTAGTCTGGGAGGGAACCTGGCGAGGTCAGCTTGCCTCCTCCCCTCTGCTTCACACAGGTGTGAACATTTCTGAGCCAGCTCCGCCGTGCCCACCTGATGCACCTTGCCAAGCGCTGGACTACGCCGGTAAGCAGCGCGCGAGGGTCAGGCTGGGCTCGCAGCAGCAAGATCAGGGCCTCTCGCCTTACGTCCACGTGTTGTGTCTTTAAAAAAAAGAACTGGGGGAAGCGCCCTTTGCATGCTCAGAGGCACTGACACTCTTCATCATGTCCTCTTCCCTTCGGGCTCATTTTGCACCCGCTTCCAGGGCTTTTTGAGTACTGGGAGGTCAGCATCGAGCCGCTGCCTGCAACCTGCAGGGAGGTTCCCGCAGGGACTGATTCCCTGAGCCACAGGTGAGTGCCTTCCGGGGGGGGGGGGTCACAAGAGGGCCAGGCACCTGTGGGCCTGGCTGGCACGCCTGCTCCTGTCCTTCTGCCCTTCCCAGCTGGTGCGTCAAGCAGCAGTGCGTGGACCTGCTGGCTGAAGGCCTCTGGGCGGAGTTGCTGGACCTCTACCAGCCCAGCATCACTGTCCTGGACTGGTAAGTGCGGGTAGGGAGGGGATGCGTGTGCCTGGCACTGGACGCGTGGTTCCTGCGGGACTCGCTGCCCGCAGCCAGGCTGGGGCTGAGCTGAGCTGAGGAGGCGCGGAGCCCAAAATGTCCCATTGGAAAGACGGCTGTTCAGGCGAAGTTCTCCTCTTCGCCACTGGAGGGCAGCAGCTGCGCGGTGAGAGTCTGGAGAGCCCGGGGAAAGGCCCGCGGTGGCCGGCCAGGCGCCCAGGGGTGCCGGGGAGCCTTTGGCCCCGGGTTTTCCGGGGCCCCACAAGCTGGAGAGCGGCTCTCCAGCAGCAGCAGCAGCAGTCCTCCCTCCCCCCCTCCCCCCTGCCTCCCCCCAGGTATGAGGACAGCAAGCTAGCCGGCTCCGTGTACGAGCTTCACGTCCAGCTCTTGGGCACCGATCGGGCCACGGCGATTGGCGAATTTCACTACGTGGCACGGGAAGGAGAGGCAGGCGGGGAGAACAAGGGCTGGCATAATGTAAGGACGGGGCTGGGAAGCGTGGCTGGTCCCGCGCCTCGTACGCGGACCCCAGGCGCCCCCCTCCCCATTTCCAGTGCCCTGCTCCTGACTCTGGGAGTGTTGGAGCTGGCTGCAGCGTGACGTGACGAAGCGAAGCCCTCGGTGCATGGTCAGAGGCAGGTTCCGGGTCCGAGCCGCAGTTCTGCCTCGGGGCGGGCGAGGCCCTTCTCCTCACGAAGGGCTGTGCAGAATTCTGCCTGCAAGCCGCTTCGGTGCCTGTGAGCAGGGAGACCCCGCTGACCCTCCCTGGCACTCCGCTGCCAGGGCACGGCCCCGAGCCCCCCAAGGGGCCTGCGGTGAGGTGACCGGGGGGCCTGACGCATGGATCTCCCCGGACCACGGCTGACTTGCAGGCTGTGCCCCTCGGCTTTTCCCGGGCTGGAGGCGTGCTCTGCCTTTGGTGCTGCCTGCCGGGCTGAGACCTCTCCCAATCCCGCTTCCTCTCCAGGTCTCCCATGTCTTCCAACGCTACGGCCCGGGCGTGCGTCACGTCCGCTTCCTCCACAAGACCAGGGACGCCGAGACCCTGGCCGGCCTCCTCCGCACGCGAGCCACGGACAGCAGCGTCTCGGTGCAGCTGCGGGACTGACGGCGCCAGGGGGTGGGGGTCCTCGCTGGAGCTGGGGGGTGGCTGGACCCTGCAAGCCGCCCGGCACCTTTGGGGGAAGGGAGGGCAGCAGCTCAGACAGCAAGAATTGCAGTGTCTCACGATTGCTTAAAAGTAGGTCTTGAAGCGGCACTTTGATTGCATTTTTGTGGTGTGTGTTTGTGTGTAAGAAGGGAAAGCACTCTGTTCATGTTCAGAGACAAGCCCGCTTGCATTATATCTCATGCGTACCTCAGACAGAAGAGAGGTACTGAGATCAGGTTGAAGGGTCGATTCCTGGTCTCCTTTCTCAAATGACGCTTCGCCACGTCTGTTGCCAGGTAGCAGAGGCTGCCGCGGGAGGAGGCTCAGCCCTGCGCGTTTCCTCAGGAGTAAAATGCCTGGCGCTTTTTGGGAGGCGGGGGACTTTTTCCTAGTGGGCGTGGGCAAATTGCAATCTCACTCCCCGCCCGTTCGGTGGCAGTAGCAGCCTGAAAGGTTTATGTGAGGAGAGTCCCCAGAAAATTCTTGCTTTTTGCATGGGGTGGGGGGGATGGGTGTGGGGGAATGTTCTGCGCAAGGTGCCAAGGTCTCTCCGCTGGAAACCTGGCACAAGTCATTGCTGGTACATCAGAAATGGCTGTGGTTAACTGGCTTCATGGGAAAATACTCTGCAGATGCTCAGAGGCACCACCAGCATCTGTTCCTCCCAAGTTCATGGGCCGATCGTGGGTGTCCAGAACGGAGGGCTGAGGTGTCTTGGCCCATGTGCCACCGCACATTCCACACCGCCCCTTCCATCCCGCACCGCCTTTCCGAGTGTGGAGATGCCTCTAAGGGAAAGAGTCAATTGAAAACAATTTGCTTGGTTGGGATTATTGTATTCTGCTCCTGGGTTGCTGAAAGCCCTTTCCAATTAAACGTTTACAAGAGGCAAAAATAAAAGCTACCCATCATCCACTGACCTTGAGCTACAAAAAACACCCAACACATTTAGAAAGTCGTGTTCCATGCTTTTAATTATGTTTATCTTGGCAAGGCCCAAGAATAATAGCAGGGGCGAGCTGGGGAATGTTGGCTGCCGGGCGGATCTCAGGAGGCGAGTGTGGCTTGGAAGACGGAGCCGCGGGATCCCAGGCCGTCCGGGGAAGGTCCTTGAGCGAGAGGAGAGGCCCGCGGGCCGTTGCGTCCGGGGGGCCGCTTCCCCGCCCGGCTCGTGCTCAGTTGCTGCTGCCATCACGCTGGGCAGGGGGATCGAGGCGTTCTGGAGGCCCGGCTGGATGCTTGGCTGCAGCGCGGAGGGTGCTGGAGTCTCCTGCCGCGCGGCACGAGGGACGGAGACGGGACTCGGGGAGGCAGGCGCCCGCGGGAGAGGCTCCGGGCCATCGCTTCGGGGTGGGCGGCTCCTCCCCTGCGTCGCCCATCCCCATCCCGGGCCCCTCAGGTGCACTTGCAGAAGTAGGCCGAGATGGAGTTGTCCCAGTTCCCAAAGAGCCCCTTCTTGAACTCCTGCAGCCGAGGGTACGCCCCGGGCTTGAACTTACGGGTCTTGCCAGTCTTGGCCTTTCCGGACCACACGGTGAGCTCACAGCGCTGGCCCACCACCAGCGAGGAGACCTTGTTGTTGAAAGCCGGAGGCACATAGGGCTGGTCCTCGCCGGACATGACGACCAGGACGCTCCCGCCGCAGCACTGGTCGTAGTAGGGGCTGTTGTCCGTGTAGAGCTGGGAGCAGATCTTGGTGCCGTTGGGGGTCTTGAGGTCGGCGGGGAGCGGGCACTGGGCGCACGCCCCCGCGAGGAACAGGGGCAGCAGCAGCAGCAGCTGGGAGGCCGGCATCCTTGCAGTCCCGGAGCAGCGAAGGAAGGGGAGGCTTTCGCTCAGGGAGGGCGGCTCGTTTATATAGGGCCGCCTCATCCTGGCAGGGCCAAGCCAAGGCCGGTGGCTGGAATCTGGGCCCGCTTCCAAGGTCCTGGAGGGAGATACGGATGGGAAGGAGGCAGGCTGTGTGTGCCCAGAGGGGCCCTGGGTGGTTGGGGCTGTGGACTCGTGGTCACGCGCTGCACTCGGAGGGGCCGGGGTGCCCTTCCTCACACACATCCACCCCGCACCCCCCGTCCAGGTCCAGGCGCTGCCTCTTCCCCCTCCGATGGCCCTGCAGAAGAAGCCGGAAGCTCTGCAGCAGCCCTTCCCAATCCAGCAGGCCCCAGATGTGGTGGACTACAACTCCCACCCTCCTCAGCCAGCCAAGGCTCATGGGAGTTCTAATCCCAGGCATCCAGAGGCCACCGGCTTGGAGAAGGGTGCTGTACAGTTTAAAAACGCCTGCTCTGCAGCGGCTGTATAAAGAGCAGTGGCGGGCCCTCGCTCGGCCTGCCCGGACGCTGCACAGGACGAGGCCGGGCTGGGGCTCCCGGTCTCTCCGCGGCTGAGCGACAGGCGGGGCCGGCTTCGCTCTGGGGCACCTGCCTGCCGGCAGTGGGCCCGCCTGTGCGGCAGAGCTTTCGCACCCAGGGCAGGACTGGGGGGCTTGGGCAACGGCCTCCTCCGGCGCCAGCCGCAGGGAACCCCCCCGACCGGGGGGCCGGCTGGGAAAGGGAGGACGGAGCGCCACTGCGCAGCCCTCCGAGGAGCAGGCAAGGCTGTGGGAAACCGCACATGCCGTGCTCCCCGCTCCACCTTCCGGCAACGCTCCGAGGAGCAGCCGCACCTGCCTTGGCCTCCCCGGCCGTGCCGGCGCCTGGCGCCTCCTCCGCTTGCCCCACCCCAGAATCCTGGCCAAGCACCATCCTGACCCGGGGAACTCTTGGGCGATTTAGGAGACATCTCCCCCCGCCCCCCGCCGGCCTGGCCCAGCCCTCCTTTTCCAGCAGGTGGAGGGCAGAGGAGAGCTGCCGCCCCACACCTGTGCCAGCTCGTGCGCTCCAGCCACCCTTCTCCCACACCTGCCCGCCATCCCACTGCCCAGGTGCGGCTTTCCCTTGGGAGACGGGCAGGTGGCTGGGGGCTCCTGGCACAGCGCACAAGCCCCAAGGCCCCAAGGCCGCGGCGGCAGGCTGAGGTGGCCCTTCACGAGGCTCGGGCGCTTGCTCTCCGGAGGGCGGGGGGCCCACGCGCCGTCTTGCTGCACCGAGCACGGCCTTTGCCCACCGCTCCTCGGCCCGGTCTCCGGCCCCTCAGGCCTTCGCACCCGCACTGCCACTGCCAGGCGAAGCGCCTTGGCCGCCCCTGGTCCACCACGACCACCCCCCCAAAACGCAGCGGGCGCCCCGAGCGAGCCCCGGTGGGTCGCCCCCTTTGGCTTCTCGCGCGCTCCCCCCCGCCCCCGTCACAGCACCAAGCGGGATAACGGGCCGCCTGTCTGAAAGGTCGCTCGCCTGGTGCGGGGCCGGGGGCGATGGCGGAAGAGCAGAATTTTGGGGACTGAGCCTCTCAAACATTCTCCCAGCCATTCGTTAACGTGCCACCCGGTGGCTGGGGCATGTGCAGAGTTTTTCTGCCTAGGCAGGCCCAGGGCTGGCGTGCGAAAGCGGCAGAAGCCGGAACGGCCTCGGCGGGCAGGTCGCTCTCGGCGGCCCCGGAAAGGGCAGGCAGTGCAGCTCTGCAGGAGGCCGGTTCCCCGCCGGGAGCCGCCACGGACGAGGCCCCGCTCCTGCGGCTCCCGGGTCCCCACGTCGCGGGGAGGCCTCGGGCCTTGCGGCTCCGGGGCACGGGCGGCCGAGGGGCACGTGCCCGCGCGCCGCCGCCGCCGCGTCTGCAAGGTCCCCGAGCGCGCGCACCCCGGGAGGGGGCCAGCGGGGGGCCCGGCTCGAATCCCCGCCCCTTTCCGCCCCCTCATCGGGATTGGCCCCGTCCCCCCCCCCGCCTTCGCCCCGCCCCTCCCCGCGCGTCACTCATTCGCGGCACCGCAGCCTATTCTCCGTCCGCCCAGGCGACTGCGCGAAAGGAGCGCGGAGGACGCGTCCGCGCAATGTATGCAGAGCCCAGAATCCTTTGCGGTAAGTGAGCCGCGTCAATGCGGAGCAGAAGCGACGTTCTTTTTCCCCAGAAGCTTTTCTTCGACGCGAGACGGGAAGCACTCGTGGTGCTGGACCTTGGCCACTCTCGCACCCCTTTCCGGGCCGCCCCTGCCTGGCTCGCCCTTACCTGGGAAAGCGTCCTGCGAGAGGGCGAGAGCGCCGGCCGCCAGCTTCGCTAGCTTTGCGCAGTGGCAGTATCGTAGCCAATGAGGTTAATCCGAGGCGCGATTATTGCTAATTGAAAACTTTTCCCAATACCCCGCCATGACGACTTGAAATATAGTCGGCAATGGCAATTTTTGACAGTCTCTACGGAGACTGAAAACTTCGGTGTCAAAAACAGCTGGGAGAAAACCTGTGGACCGTCTCATCTGCAATGCGGACTTGATCCGAAGAAGCGCTGCGTTCCCGACAGAGGGCCGAATTCTACCGGAGACCCGGGGCTGCGAGAGGACATCTCCGCGGGGATGCCGTGCAGCGGTCGCTGCCGCGACCCGTCCGTCCTCGGCGTGGGGCGCGGCTTCCCGGGACCGAGTCCCCTTCGGAGTAGCCGGAAGACGCGGGAGAAGAAAAGCAGCGGCGGTTCTCGCAAGCTGAGCAAATAACGACCTGCTCTAACGCGTGGCGGGCCTGCGGGTGCGAACGGCGCGTTGCTGCTGCTGCTTCTCGCGACGTGGTGGCTCCCGCGGCCGGAAGGGCTGCGAGGGGCCCGTGGGAAAAGGGGCGCGGGAGGAGCTGGAGGTGTGGCGTTTTTCCGTTTCGCTGTGGCCTGCAGCCTCCGTTTTGCGGTTTGGTGGCTGGAACTCCGCTGGAATGAGTTCTGTAGCTTTCTTCCCTCTGGTGTCCTCAAACTTCTGAATGGGGTCAGTTCACTGTCGGGCTGGCCTCGTCTGAAAATAATTCCTATGCGCACCACATTAAAAACCACAATTAACATATTTAATGTTAAAACAAATGTAAAAATTAAAATAAATGTACAACTTGGAATTTAAAAAGTTAAGTATAAACTATATATAAAAAGAAGCAATAGCTGCAGCAGAAGCCCAAGGGGGCAGCCATGGGCCTGTGCTTTTTTGGGGGTGAGGCCTTTCCCAGCCTGGAGGCAGGTCCCCTCCCAGGGGAGAGGAAGGAAAGGAGGAAGAGGAGCAACGGGCCTGCTGCCTTGGCCAGAGGAGGGCTGCCAGCCAGGGGCCAGCCGAGTGGGGTGCCCAGCAGCCTGGGCTCGGTGAGTGGCCATGGCTTGAAGTCAAAAATGGACTTAAGCTTTGTAGTTGGAGTTCCCATGAACTAAACCTGAATTGTTCAGTTGAAATAAATGGCTGGTTGTGGGGTAAGATGAGGTTTGTTGGTAACTGGGTTGTGAGAAAAACATCTCCCGTGCTCTTTCCCCCCCATCACACACCCCAAGGAGCTCTTTGCTGGCCGTTTCCCAAGCTCAGTGGGCCCAGGGGTAACTGCCTTGGGAGGGGAGTCAGTGATCTTAGTTGCCCCTCCCTGTGCTTTCTTCTGGGTTGGGGAGGTTTGTCTGGAAAGGCCCCGAGGCTGGATCAGGCCAGCGTCCGCCCACTGGCTGGGGAACAAGCGTTGGCCCTTAGCGCACAGGCTGCCCTCTGGATTTGCCTTCCAGCGTCACTCGGCCATGTGGGTTGGGGGAAGTTGCTCCCTTGGCCCACTGGGTTGTGCACCCTCAAGTGCCTCCTGATTTGTGAATGAATCCTATGAAATCAATACAAGTTGGTGTGTGAGATAATAAAAGGTTTTTATGAAGAATACTTCACATTTTTAGAAATGGTCGCTTAATTAACCAGCAGCGGTTAATTCCCTCTGACAATCCCAATCCGAAAATGCATCCAGATTCATGAGCATCTGGCTTTCAGAAGCGGGCTTTCACGGAGTCTGCAGTGAGGCTTTCAACTGAGGACGGGGCAGAACTGTCCGGACTGTCGCACGTGGCCAACCAGTAATGCCCGCTCCCCGCACTCTCCCCAGGGCGAGTCCCCAGGCCTCGGCTCCCGCCCTTTCTGTCCTCCACAGCTTCTGATGGCAGGAACACCACTGAGCCAGTTAGGGTTGCTTCAACGGTGTCCCTTTAGCTGCTGCACCTTCAGCCCCATCAACTCCTGGCTCTAATGAGCAAGCAGGTTTTGCCGCCATTGAGGGACCCAAGGAATGGGAAAGAGCCGCTGATGCGCCGTGCAAGTTGGTGCTATTGTTTGTGGGGGACGGTGAACAAGGAGCTGAGGTGTCTCCTCGGGCCATTGGCTGCTACACGCGACTGGCCACGTTTTGGCAAAAACAGCACAGTCTCATCTCTGGCATTCAAATGCAAAGGGAAGTAATTTATACACCAATTTTGTATTTCCCACCTAATAGTTTTATGCCTTTGGACAAGCTTCAGTTCTTTGAGAGCCATTGCTAAGTAGTTTTTGGCCATCTGTGAGTCAGGTGGAATCACAGATGATCTTCCATGTAGGGAAGGGGGGAAGAAGTGTCTGGACTGAGTCCCACAAGCTACGGAAATGGAAACAACCCGACGGAGCATTGCAGGAAGCTCCAGGGCTTTTTCAATGTGTTGTGAGTAAAGTACTCATAATGTTGCATGATTCCTTCCACTTGAGGTAGCAGGGAGGTTGGGTCCCAGATAGCTAATTAGGGATGGCTAATTAGGGGCGTTGGAGGCCGACTTTCTGAGTGGAGTAGATTCCAGGGAGTGGAAGACCATTCTTTGAAATGTTGGCTGACTGTGCAGAGGTACACTTGCACCAATATGTGTCCGTGCTGGCGCATGCTTGTGGGCGTGGAATGCCATCTTCACGCATCGCTGCGAAGGCCCCGTCCATGAGCCTTTGGGCGGCGGAACCAGAAGGCGGCTGGTGATGCACATGGAGACGTCCAAGGCTCCCCAGCTTCAGCCGAGAGCCCCTGGAAGGCTGCTGCAGGCCATGCGGAGCTGCCCGAGGGGAGCCGTGCTGCACCACAGCGCCTCCAGCGCGAGTCTGCACCACGGCTGGCGGGCGGCACGCAGGCAGCTGGCACGGGGCAGGCGTGGGGGTGCTGCCCTGCGTGTCGTGCCCCACAGCTGCTCTGCGGAGGTGGGCTGCGGCCCGCTGGTGTGCGCCGGCCCGGAGCCAGGGCTGCCGACGTCCGCTTGTGCTGCGGGACAAGGTCCTCGCCCTGGCCGGCAGGGATGATGCCAAGGAAGGTGGAGGGGCGGCAGCCGAGGGGGAGAGCCCTTGCTGGGGGCTGGAGCGGCAAGCTCTGTATCGGGTGCAGCCGCACAAGGCTTGGCCGTGGGCAGAGGGAGCCCGTGGGGCGGGGAATGGGAGCCTGTGGGGCAGGGCCTTGCTGGAGTGATCCAGTGGGGTGGGGGGGGGGGGCAGTGCTGCTTTTGTCCCCTGCACTAGCCGCTCTCCTGCCGTTTC